TTCTCCCCGTAGCACCAGTTTCAGATGCTATCTGACTGGAGCATGCTTGACTTTTGAGTCTCCTTTGTTTCTCCAGTCCTTAGGACTTCTTGCCCTGGCCAGTTAGTGTTTCAGTACAGTTGGGCAGTCGCTGTTGCAATCTGGAAGCTGCTTTTGAACCATGGAGTAGTTCCGTCTCCCTGCGCTCCGCAGCCGGTGTTATTTGAGACTCTCAGAAACCCAGCAAACCGCAGAGATAGACATGAATTCATCAGACTTTCTGTACGCCATATACATGTGCTCCGGTTCAGTATGCTTTTTCCACTTCTGTAAACACATGTTCAGGTCAGGGGACTTTCACAGTTTATACACACACACGCTCGGTAGGGTATTTTTACAGTTTCTGTCGAAGGCTACCTATGGTAACACAGGAGTACCCTGGCCATTATTTATACTTGCTAACGCACTTTTCCAGACTCAGTCTCCCCAGAGCCGAGGCTGCTGGTTTCAGCTTGAAGATCCCACACAACTCATGCTCTCACTGTGAAGAAATGTCACTGGGGTCTGTCACTTTCTATTCATTGCCTAGACTTGTGATTTAGGGAGTTCCTTCCATCACTGGGTTCTGAGCTTTAGCTCACTCTAAGTGCATTGGGAAGGTTGTGTCAAAGATCCATAGACCTTGTGTTAAGCTGCAGAGGCATGTTATGGTGGGAACGGTGCAAAAGATCATAAAGCCAGGCTCCAAAGCTCATGATTTTTGCACAAGCAAGTGCCCTCCAAAGGCATTGTGGTCTCTGAGACAGCAAAGTCCCACCATGTGCTGAAGATGCACATCTACTCAAGATTCTGCAAGGGCTTCTGGGCCTAGGAGACTGTAGTATTAAAGGGACTCTAGCCGGTGCAAGCTTGGCAAATATGGCTCTGGCAGGTCGTGCCCTTCTCCCCCATTCACATTGGCCTTACTAAAGAAGCTTAGGTAACATTTCTAAAGCCAGCCCCCAAGGTCTAGCCCCTTATTTGGCCACATCTTCCTCCTGAGGCTGACTACCAAGGCCCAGCTATCAAAGTATTGAAGCCCAGCAATCAAAAGCCCCATTTGGCTCACCTAATAACATGTCCAATTAAAATGAAAACATCTTGTCCTAACATGGGTTTCCCCTTTCCCTTTACAAACCTCCATTTTCCTGTGGGCCACGTCTGTCTCCTGTCTCCAGAGGCAGTCCTTTGTCCTCCCCTGCTCCCCACATCGGGTAAGTATCCATCCCTCTCCCCTAGTTCCTTCCCCTTCTTCCCTGTTCTCTATCTCCTCTCTGTCTCTTATTCCCTGTCCTCTATCCCCCTGGGGCAAATAAATCTTTGTGCTGAGAACTTGGTCTTGCTGTGTCCTGGACCAATACCCATCTTTCCAGGAGTCATCACGGAAACTTCCTTCTCCAGAAGTGTCCACGTGTTGCTGGGAGAGATCTCTCCTGTGGAGACCAACGCAGGACTACTCACCCCATTGAGAGAACAATCCTGCTTGATGAACCCAAGTTCTTACTGGGGCTATTAAGGGATGTGGCTGAGGAGGTGCAGCAGCGGGGGTGAGTCAAAAAGATAGCTGTGCCACCAAAGCCCACCCCAGCACCAGCGACAGTTTGGGAGAGCTGGACTGTGACTGCAGACAGCTGGACCTAGGAGGAGCCCTGAGGCTGGCTGTGCTCTCACCCCCGACCTAGCTGCTGTTAACTCCTCAGGCCCAGAGTTGGAGCTTGCAAGCTTCCGCTTTTCCAGACACTGCCTTTTGTTTATCCCTGGAGCCCTGGAGGATGATACTTGGGAGGAGCTGCAGTGCTGCAGGCTGCAGACGATGAACAGGGAAAACTTGCTCTGTTCCTTGATGCGGACCAAAAGGCTTGTTAAGGGCCTACTGTGGGCTAGGCTGTGTTCCAGGTACTTTATGTAGGTAGACTCGCTTTAAATTGGAACCTAGACAATTTGCCCCTGAAAGTATACTTAGAACAGTGACTATGTGAGTACAGGGATATTGTTAGAAAACAGGTGGTAGAGGCCCGAGACTCAGCTCAGTGGATATGGGCACCACCACGCCCACAACCTGAATGCAATCCCTGGGACCCATATGGCTGAGGAAGAGAACAGACCTCTGCAGGTTTTCTGACCTCTGCATGAGCACCGTGTCATGTGTGCATGCACACAGATGACAAATAAATAGTAATAGATCCAGAAAATGAAATACATGCTAGGTAAAGATAGCAGGAGCAGAACTACTGTCTTCTGATCTGCAAGGGAAAATGGCTTTTGACGGAGCTCTAGGAGGCAGAAGAGATACCTGGCCTGGAAACAGATTACCTTGGATGCTGGAAGCCAACTAACCCATTTGAACTTTGTTATCTGTAAGATGAAGGGGGAAAAGGGTGAGGTGTTTGTTTTGTTTTGTGTATAGCCCTGGGTGTCCTGGAATTTGCTCTGTAGACCAGGCTGACCTCAAACTCACAGAGATCCTCCTGCCTCTGCCTCCCAAGTGCTGAGGTTAAAGGCATGTGCCTCTGTAAGCCTCCGCACTTTTCTGTGGATACCCAGGCCTGAACTCGAGTCCACGAGAATAGACAGCTGTCCTAAGGGTTTAAACAGACACACAAAGAGACCTGCTCACTTACCAAAGAGTAAATGGCCACTTTATTAAACTCAAGTCGGGTATTTATACCAGTGGGCAAGAGGGTTCAAAAGGGCACGGCCCCCTCCCATCAGGAGCAGTGGAATAGGATAATAGGTGCCCAGCGCCTCAGGCAGAATCAGCTGGGGGAGCCAGGCGTGGCCCAAAGCTGGAACCTTGTTTACAGGTGGAATTACCATAACAAAGGAGAGCCAAGTTCTAAGCTATACCCTCAAGCCAGTGCTAGTGCAGAATCTCCAGGGAGCCAGAGGTCAAACGAATCGCCAAGGAAGAAAAGGGAAAAAGACCTGGGTACCTACATGCCACCACCACCTGGCTAAAGGATGAGTTTTTAACTTGAGCTTTTGTGCATTTCCTGGCTTCTAGTTTGGCTATTCAGACACTATTTCTTCCCGTTCCTGGCTAAGCTGTTGGATTCCCAATGTGTGTGGGTGTCAGTGCTCAGAAGCCATGGAGAGGGCTGGCTCTGTGGGAAAATGGCTGGCTGCACAGACCTGAGGACCCGAGTTCCACCTCCAGAACCCGCCAAAGCCAGCTGCTGGGCCTTATTTCCCACATCCACACACTCCTACCTCCAGGTGGGAGGTAGACACTGGAGAAACACCCAGGGAAGGTTGCAGGCTAGCCACCCTGGAGAGTGAAGCAGGCCAGAAACAAGATGGACTTTCAAAAGTTGCCCTCTGACCTCAACACCTGTGCCATGGCACATGCAAGTCTACAGTCACACACACAACATAAAGTAACTATAATAAATGTTTTGAAAAGTTAAGCCTGACTGAAAAGTTTTTAGCATTACAACAAATGGGAATAGCAGTTTTTTTTTCAAGTTCTTCTAGTTCTAGTGATGATCTGAAAACACAAATATGTTCAAAGACCCCAGGAAATAAGCCAGAAAGACATACCCTAATGATCCCTTCCTTAGATTCTAGAATTTCCTCCGCCATGACTGCCCCTGCACTTGTGAACAAGGCTTGAGTAAAGTCACCCACGGTGAGCCTCAGTGTTGTTCCTGTGTGGATGTTATATGTCCAAAACCCAGACCCAGCCAGAAGGACGGCTCGGTAGGTAATGGGCACGTGTTGCCAGCCTGACCACCTGAGTTCTGTCCCTGAGATCCACTGTGGAAGGAGAGGCCCAGTCCTTCCGAGTTGTCCACTGACCACACACCCTTCCCCCACAACAAAGGTGAAAACCTTCTGCACAGGCAGACGCCCCTGTTAAAGCAGCCAGCCTACGAATGATGTGACTGTCAGTCTCCTTGGAGGCCTGAGTCGTGTGGTTCAAGAGGTGCTACAAGAAATACAAAATATGTACTGGGTTTTTTGTTCCTTTTTGAGACAGGGTCTCAGGTAGCCCAACTGCATCAAACTCATTGTGTAGCCCAGGCTGGCCTGCCAAGTGTGAGGATTGCAAGCATGTTCCCCCATGCCAGATGACGAGTGCCGGAAGTCAGCTCTAGGGCTTTGTACGTGCTTGGCAACACTGCCAGCTGCGCTATAGCCTGACGCTTCTTTGCGCTGGGTTTTGAAATTTTAACTGTGAAATGTAAATCATCTCAATTTTATATTACAATTCTACTACAATAATACTATTTTGAGTACATTAGGTAAAGTAAATTACTGTCTGCCAAAACATTTACTATTAACATTCATCTAAGATTCTTTCAAAACTTTTCAAAATATGACTATTAAAACTGTTAAAGTACATCTGTAGATCACATTCTGTTTCTGCACCCAGGCTGTCCAGGTCCACGTGGGAGGAAGGAATCGTATGCAGGCATCTCCCATTCCAGGCTGTTAAACCGTGTTGGGGTCCTCCAGCTGGGCAATCCATTATTTTGCCTCTGCCTCTGCCTCTGCACTGCTAATCTGAATATTTGCTGAAGCAGAGATTTTCATCCAAAACCAAACCAATTGCCGCCAAAGAACAGACACCAACTCATGGACTTTGCTAGCGAAATTCTCCAGACTGACAAGCACTAGAGTGTTTCCATGAAAATAAGTCGTTTCCATCCAGCCATTTTTCTGTCATGCCTCCAATAGAGTGTGGAAAAGCTCACTGTGATCCAGTCACCATGAGTCTATCAGGAGATGAGCCTGGCTGAGCTTCTTACTCTCCAGGAGCTTGTGAAGGGCCTTGGGGTAAGGACTTCACAGTTTATGGTGATGAGGAGAGATTGGCCATCTGCAGATGTTAAGGCCTCTCTTCACGATATCTTCAAGCCCCTGACATGTTTAACAACTTTCTAGACATGCTTTGTCGACAGCCATTGCACCCTGAACATACCTGATCCGATCCGAAGACATGGTTTTCTTCCACGTGTTACTGCTGTCTTCTCAATCGCTGCTTCCCCGAGAACCTCCGTTTCTCCCTCCCTGCTGGTGTTCGTTCTGTCCAGGGTGTTTCTAACACGGTTTGTTTGGATGGAAGTGAAACAGGAAGTATCCATGCCCTGGTGGGAAAGTATGTACCTAGACTCACATTCACTGGGCTCACATTCCAGTTTTAACACAAACTACCCCGACTTTTCCACTGTAGAGTGCTGGTTTTAACAATACCTATTTCACAGAACTAGTGCATACCTAGACAGTCACAACTGGGACACCTTTCTTGGGACAGACAGGCCAAAAGTTGGTATGTGTCTATCCAAGGGTTGGAAGGATTAATTTGCTTTTGGTTTGGGGTTTTGTGTTTCCCGTTTCTTCCCACTGCAATAGGCAATGTTTGTCCCCAGATGGCGCTAAAATGTCCCCAGATGGTGGCATGAACTCTGTAAAATCAGCCCTGGGGCAATAGATTTTTTTTTAAAGTTATTTTCCGGTGATTGCCAATGAAGATCAAGTTATTCAGTACAGCAAATAGCTATCTTAATTCAAATTCAAATAGACAATGTGCCCTGGCTGTGCCTGCCCTCCCCTTAGCCTCCCTTAATACTGATGAAGAGAAGGGAGATCCCACATGGGTTGGGTTTTTTGTTGTTACATTTATGTACACATTTTTCTGTGTGTGCATGCAGTGTGCATACGTGGGTGCCACAGTGTATGTAGGGAGTTCAGAGGACAGCCTGTGGGAGTCTGTCCTCTCCTTCCACAGCGCAGGCCCCAGGCATCAAATAGGTCATCAGGCTCGGCGGCAAGCACCTTCCACACACTGAGTCATCTTGCCGGCCCAGCATGGCCTGGGTTTGTATTTGGAGCTTGTTTCTGCCCAATATAAAAACTATAGTATTAATAGCAAAGAGGACATCTGAGAACGGACAAATGACAGCCCCGGGGGACCACTGCCCAGGCCTGGAGTGTCGTCAAGAACAGAGAACTAGTTAAAGCTTTGAGCTCGCTCACTAAACTGGAAGAACAGGGACTGTGTGTAACCGACAAGTTTTCTGTAAAGTGTGTGGAGATCCATCTTGGGGCATTCCTGGGGAGGCCTATCGCTGGAGTCCTACCTTGCTAAGTGCAATAGCACCTGCTGTGATAAGCTAATGGCTCGGCCAACACAGAAGGAAGGCAGAGTCTGTCGCCACAAGGGGCCATGTTCTGATCTGCTCACAAAGGGGCTGTGTTCTGATCTGCTCAATATTTTTATTGGAACTAAGTGTCTCAGCAAGAGAGCACAAATGCCAAACGCCTACCGTGCATGCAGGCCGTGAAGTCCTCACAGCTCTTGCCAGTCCAAAGAGCTCAGGGAAAGACAGAGTCCACTAACACCAACCCGGTAGGCTTGTTTGATGTTGAGGAAGCGTGGCTTGACAACCTGTCAGGCGTTCACTTGGCAGGATGTCTGTTGACACCATTACAGGTGAGCTTGTCCTGCACGTGTGTGGGCAGAGTAACTCACAAATGAGCCAAAGGAATAACCCCAGGGGCTACAAGAAGCTGTATGACTTCACATTATAATAAACTACATCCCCACCCCACCCCCCTGGGTTTTGTGGTTTGGTAAAGGAATGTTGACTGTTCAAAGCAGAGGACTTCCCCTTTGTCTGCTTGGCAGCTGCGGTAGCAGAGAGGTCAGGGTCTCCCAGGGCCGCAGGGACACGCAGATGAGACTATATGGGTTGTGTCCCATGGTTATTACCATGGACGCAATTACTCAACACAGTGGCTCAAAAATAGCAAATTTCCCCCCACCGCTCGAACCCACATTCTAGCTGGGCTTGATGAAGACCGCCTTGCTCCAGTTGGCGTCAGTGCGGCAGCTCAGGGCCAAGAGGCTGGAGTCATTTAAAGGCCCTCTTCTCATATTCTGACAGTTGATACTCTAGGACAGCACTCCTGTGAATCAGTCTCAAAGCCAGGACGGAGGCCTTGTTTCTGCCCATGATCTACTTTCACAGCCCCACAGCGCCTCCTCTGCTACGTTTCTGCCCACAGAGGCCACCGTCGGCCTCATCCACGGGAGAGAAATTTGACTCAATCTTTTGACCAAAACAAAATGAAAACCTTTTCATCTTGAAAGAGTACGTGAAGTTGCAAGCGTTGCTGTGGTCATGTGTGGACAGAAAACTAACCCCAGGCACGCACAGGAGGTGAGCATGCAAGCAGATGCAGCTGTAGGACTTTATAGCAGCAATGGAAAAGCCTCTTAATTCATAACATAGCAGAAGGAGCTGAGACTCAGGAAGTAGGAAGCATCTCCTAGGCCGTGAAGACCAATTTCTGGAGAGCAAGGGATGTCTATGGCAGGGTAAGGGCACAGGGGCTAACATACTCGGTCAAATACAGTTACAGATAGAAACTTTTCCTGTCTGCGTTTGAGTTCATTCCGTGTTTATTAAGTCAGTTCTGCCTGCCTGGTCTCTGTGTGCCTGCCTTACTCTTTTTTTTTTCTTTAGTCTTTATTTTTCTTTTTTTCTTTCTTTTTTATTATTACTTAAAAAATACCAATCCAAATTCTCACTCCCTCCCCTCCTTTCACTCCCCTCCCTCTCCCTCCACAGACCTTCCCCCCGCCCGCCCCTCCAACCCTAAGGGAGTGCCATGCACCCCACCCTGTGGAAAGTCCAAGGCCCTCCCTACTACATCTAGATTGAGCAAGGTTTACATCCAAAGAGAATAGGATCCCATGAAGCCGGTATCTGCAGTAGAGACACATCCCATTGTCACTACCAGTGGCCCCTCAGCCTGCCCCAGCTGTCAGCCCCCTTCAGAGGGAGGGGCTTGGTTGTTCCCATGCTTGTTCACTCCCAGTCTTGTTGGAGTTGGTGAGCTCCTATTAGCTCAAGCAAACTGTCTCAGTGGATGACCCCCTCATGGTCTTGAATTCCTTGCTCATACTCTCACTCCTTCCACTCTTCAGCTGGATCCTGGGGGCTCAGTCCAGTGCTCCAATGTGGGTCATTGCCTCTGTTCCCAACTGTTGTTGGTCGATGGTTCTATGGTGATATTTAAGATAATCATCAGTCTGACTACAGGGTAAGGTCAGTTCAGACACCCTCTCCTCTATTGCTTAGGGTCTTAGCTGGCGTCATCCCTCTTGACTTGGGTAGGAGTTCTCTGTGTTCTCTCTAGCCCATGGTCTCAGGCAAAGAGAGAGAGAGAGAGAGAGAGAGAGAGAGAGAGAGAGAGAGAGAGAAGGGAGGAGGTGTCAAAACATATCAAGTTAAGTGTGTGAACTCTCTTGCATGGCCGGCTTAAGAACTTCAGTATGACAAGCTGAGAACGCCTTTCTCAATGGGGAAATTAACATTAAAGCATATACTCTAGTGGTCCATGGAGCACTTTGAAGCTGCTTCTGGGTGAATCACTGGGGAACCAAGGAAGTCCAGAGGCCAGCCAATGAGCAGCAGAGGGCAGCTTTACTCCACCACACCCTTCACAAATGGTCTCCGGATTCCTTCCCAGTGCACAGCTCATGGAGTTGGGTGAGGGCTTTCCAATCCATGAGACATTGTGGTTCAGTTCTTGATGAAGATGGCTCTGGTCCTGCTGCCAGCATATTGGGCCCCTTGTTAGGTTGTTTGCTTCCCCCGTGAAGTCTGGCTTCTATCATTTTCTCCCTCCTCTCCTTCTTCATCCTCCACACACATCCTTCTCTGGCAATGTCACCAGCACCTCCCCTGTGTATATATAGCCCCGAGCCAGATCCTGGCTCCTTCCTTCAGGACAGGAAAAGCAGGTCCTGTGCCAGCTGGGCTGCTACAGCATGTCACATGAGCTCCGAGAGATGATCACCCCCACCTCCCTTTAGTCGTTTATCACAAGAGAAAGCATAAGAATGGTATCAGCTATTAAACACACTTGACTAACAAAATGCCTCAGATCTAATAACCAACATTGGTCTGTGTGTGTGTGTGTGTGTGTGTGTGTGCGCGCGCGCGTGTGTGTGTGCATGTGTGTGTAGGGACAGGGTCACTTAGAATGACCGAATCTAGACAGACCTTGACAAATCTGTATGCTTGGTTCTGTGGTTCTGGGTTTGGCAGCTGGTCTTCATTAGGGCACAACAAAGTGCCCATTTCCAGGGAATCAGGTTTCCTGGTGCTAGTCTTCTGTATCCCAAGATGGTCCTCCCATCTTCAAAAAGCATGTGGGGGCATAGAGGGAGCGACGTTCTCTCCCACGGTGAGTATAGATGCTCTCACTGCGGAGGGAGACTCAGAACTCATCTGACACCAGCGGAGGAGAGCATAGGCTTGGAGACACTGCTGGGCTATCTCTACCCGACAAGGTGCAGGGCACGAAAATGAGCTAACAGTTGCGGTGAAATGACCTTACATGTTGGATGGAGAAAACATTACTTGCTCACAGTAAAGGAAGAGAACGCTGACCTCTCTCCGCCCACTCGGGGTCACCTGTCCCCTTCCCTTCCTGCTGAGGTTCCCTTGCCAACAGCTTTTCCCTAGGTTTGTGTTTGCGAACACATGAATAACAAGCTGACTGTGGACGTGCATTCCATTGCATCACAAAGTAAATTAGCCTTGAACTGTTAGTTTGGACTGTCTACAAAAGATAATGCAGCTGTCCCCTTGCTACGTGTAGTTTCTGGGTCTCAATGTCCTCAGGAACCATTTCCTGTCTCTTCTGAAATGTGATGTTCCCGGACCTCTTTAGTTAAATGTCCTATAATCTGCTCAGATCTCAAAGCATGCTCTATAGTAGTTGCTATTCATGAGTACACGTTACTTAAGAGTGATCTAGTCTGATTATCTTAAATATCACCATAGAACCTTCGTCCAACAACAGATGGAAATAGAGGCAGAGACCCACATCAGAGCACTGGACTGAGCTCCCCAGGTCCAGTTGAAGAGTGGAAGGAGTGAGAATATGAGCAAAGAGGTCAAGACCATGACGGGTTCATCCACTCAGACAGTTTGCCAACCCTAATGGGAGCTCACCAACTCCAATTGGCCTGGGAATGAATAAATATGGGATCAAACTAGTCCCTCTGAATGTAGTTGACAGTTGGGGCAGACTGAGGGACCACTAACAGTGGCAATGGGATTTGTCTCCACTGCATGCCCTGGCTTTTTGGGATCCTAGTCTCTTTGGATGTATTCCTTGCTCAGCCTAGATGTAGTGGGGAGGGCCCTGGACTTTTCACAAGGCAGGGTGCCTTACCCTCTCTTAGGATTAGAGGAGGGTGGGGTGGGAGGGTGTGTGGAGGGAATGGGAGGAGGGGAGGGAGTGGGAATTGGGATTGTTATTTTTTAAAGTAATTAAAAATTTATAAGAAAAAAAGAGAATGATCTAGCCACACAGGGACAATGTGAATACCATGCCCTTCTTCAAGGAATTTTTCTCTGTCTCTGGCCACCACGGCTTGTTGCTGGGCATAGCTACCTATCCCTGCAGAGAGCTGCGCACCCCTCAGCTCTGTGCCCTTCTTTGAAACACTTCTGTTTAAGTATGGAGACTCCTGCCTCTTCGTGAATATCACCGCTCATCTCAGGACACTTCTCAGTCCCTTCTGCACCTAGGCACTGCTGCCTGATGCCATCATCACCGGTGACTGCTGCCTGGCTTTAGGGACTACTCCTTTCTAGAGGGGACCAAAGCATTCCCCTGGCTACCACTGCCTTATACTTGACACTTGGTTTCCCCTGGGACCCTGTTTCTTCTCTTTAAAGTACTTTGGTCTACCTTCCGGCATTGCTGCCATCTCCTGGGCACCATTGCCTGCCATGGATACCACTTTCTCTTGAGGGAACACATTCTGCTTGAGTTCTGCTGCCTGCTATAACCACCACCACTTGGCTGTGGGCACCGTTGCCTGTAACTAGGCACTTCCCCTCTTCATGGCACAGCTGCATGCCTCTGGACACCACTGCCTGGCGCTGAACAGTCACTGCATGCTGCTGGGCATGCTGCCGGGCATGCTGCCAGGCTTGCTGCCTACCCTGAGCCCTGCAGGCCTTTGCCCTAGGTAGTGTTCTGAAGCGTTGTCTCCTCCAGTTCCAGCTTAGGTCTTGAGCCCAAGAGCTTTGTAAAAGGCTTTAAGATAATGCCTCTTTGTTTTCCTTTGACCCTAGTTGGGCAACGAGCACCAAAACAAAGGTGTTGGGACTTCTGCAGTCCTCTGAGACAGTATCCCTTCAGTTCTTAGAACACAACTCAAGTATTTGTGTTAGGAGACAAATCTGAGCGACAGGCACCGCTGGACTTTTCCAGTTGCTCGCAGATTCTCCAGTACAAAGCTAAATCTGATAGTCCAAGGAGACATGTTCTACCTAAGAAGGGAGTTTCCTGGAGAAGGAGCTAAGAATTCTACATCCGGATCCAAGGCAGCAGGAAGAGAGAGAGAGAGAGAAACCTCAAAGCCCACCCCCAGTAACACACTTCCTCCAACAAGGCCATCCCTACTCCAACAA